TAATTTTACAAAGCTCTGTGCGTGTCCCTCTCTTTTGGAATTAACAAAAAATATTTAAAAAAAATACTTTCATGAGATAAAATTTTTTTATATACTTATTTCATATATTTTAAAATTATTTTTAAAACTAAAATTATTTTTAAAATTATGACTTAATTTCCATCTAAACATCTAAACAACAGATATTTCCAACATACAGAATATTCAACTGAGGACTCTAATGGGAGAGTCGGTTCCTGGTCAAATCATGCCCAGGACAAGTCAAAATTCATCATGTGGACTTATGTTATTTTTAAATACTTTTTTCCCCCCAAAAACTTAAGAATTTTTTTTAAGAAAATTATCTTTGGCAAGATTGTTTTTAACTATTCTTATTAATATTTTTTATAACAATAAAATACGAAAAATACCATAATAATTTATAATTTTGAGGAAAGATATTTTCATTTCAAACATAACTTTCTACCTCAGCTAGATTTTTTGTTTCATTTTCATATCAAAAAATAAGGTTCATAACTCATGAAAAATTATTAGTTTGACAAAAAATTAGCTAAGCTCTTTGTTTTGTTCAAAAGAAATGTCCATTTAAAGGAAATTAAACAGCCTATACTCTTCAAAAGTCAGTGGATATTGGATTTGAAAAGACAAAAAAAGGAGGTTTTGGAAAGAGAAAGTTGATTTCTAGCAAACCTTAATCAATCTCAGCCGCGCAATGCAATGGAGAAGAAGACCAGGAAAATTTGATTAAAATATAAAATTGATCCCCACCTAAGTTTGAAAGTTCAACCTAAGTAAAATATCTTCAAAATCCTACTGGCAGCGTTGTCTTATCCCGTCCCCTTTCGTTTTTTCCCCCTCTCTTTTTATTTACTCATTCCTGTCTATAACATAGAACATTTTTACCAGCTAATGTTGATCCAAAACTTAGAAAACTTTTCAAATGGCCAATAGTACTAATTAATTTTTTCACAAATGCCCCTTATTAATTGAACTGTGCAGAGAAATTACATAATAAAAAGGTTAAAGGTAGATTGATTTGCATTAGAAGGTAATCTAGGAAAGCAATGACACACACATATATCATTTTAATGATGTAAACCACTTTTAACTATTTTTCTCAATCTTGATAAAGTACTCCTATAAAGACTAAAAGTATCCTATACTTTAATTTGGATCAGAGGATCCGTTTTCTACTTTGAATAACTTCATTTGGCCTGTTCTCTAATAAAATATGTTCAATTCAACTTTTGCCTCACAACTACAAGAGTTCATAATATCCGTCAGAATTTCAAAGTTAATAATGCAACCACGGCTAAAAACACCACAGACCTTTGGCTATCACTTTGAATAGCCAAATCACATGGAGAAAAGAAAATGAAGAAACAAAGAAACAAAACTCAACAAGCTAGTCTCTTGCCCAAGACAACGAAATCAACTCACTGCCCGGGTATAGCCAGTGAGCTGATGCAGCTCATATGGCTAACCTTCACTCTTAAGGTAAATAAGCTAAGTGTGCTTGGATGACATCCCTGTAAAATAGATCTCATAGTGTTGCAGGGAATCTATCCAAAAGTGGTGAGGTTCAACCCATTTAATTGGATCTCATTCTTTCTCTAAATCTTATCGAGTATAAAATATGCAATTGGCATCATGTTATTTATAGACGTACCTGAAGTTCCCTGAGGCTGAGGCGTTGAGTTGCCTCTTCTGTTATAGCAGGTAGTCTTATTGGAACCCCAATCATAGCCACAGACTCCCCCTCTTTTCTGACACTCATCACACTCTACAATTCCAGCTATCCATTTTATCTCAAATCCATCATTAAGCATCCTTTGCACTATGCTTAAAACCCGGAGATCAGCCAATGACGTAGGAGCTTTAACAGGAACAACCACGCTTGTAGAGCACAACACAGAAATTTCAGGAACGTTATCCGGCAGTACATAGCCATATGAATGATCAAACCAATCTTTGGGACAAATAAATCGTAGGGGGTTTACTAAAGGGATTGACGGCGGACAACCATAAAAAAGGGTGAGATTTTTTGTTTCAGGCACGTTTTCAAACAACTGAGGGTCAAGGCTTGTGTTGAGAAGCTGATTTGGGCATAAGTTTTGGCCGTAGTCGAATCTAGCGATTGTCATAATATGTTGGTCGGGATCGGCATTCAAAACCAGGTATGAGACACTTCGGATAGTTATGAAGGTCGAACCTACGGAACAATGAAGATACAATTCAGGATAGCCACAACCTTCTGGACGGCCTTGTCCCCAGAAAGGAAACCCAACGTTTTTAATGTTCCCGCAATTGTACAGAGTACTGCAAGCTGTATAATTACCGTACGTGATCGAATACGAAGGACTCTGAAGGAATAATGAAAGGGTTATACATGAAAGAAGAAACCGGGAGGTGAAGAAGGAAGACATTGACGAAGAAATGAGTTGCAGTGAGAGAGAAGAATTTCCGTTTGGGTTAAAATAAGTGACATATTCCACTATAACGTAATGTTTGGTTGGGGGGTTTTATGAAGGGAGGTGAGGAGGAGGGAAGGCAGGCGGTGATTGGTTCATTAAATTAGGAGGGAGGGGAAAGAATTTTTTTTTGTCTTTTTCTGCTCCCTCCCCCCTTTCTCCTTTTTTTCAGAAGTCAGGTTTTTTAAAAGAGGAAAAAATTATTTGTCGTAATCTCCGCACTATTATTTTAATATGCCAAGTCTATCCTTAACAACTTCAATCAGTATTATTATATATATTATAATACAATTATAAAGTATAATTATAATTTATATATATTTTTGCCAACAACTATAATTTATACTACGTATTAATTAAATTTCATTTATCATTATACTTTATTAAGCATTTTACAAAATCTAAAAAAATAACTTAAGATAACACAAGGGTAAAATTGTCCACATAAAAATTTCTCTCCTTTCTTCTTTTTTTAAATCAAATAAGATAACATTAAAATCTCTTTTCTTTCTTTCTTTTTATTAAAATTCCTCCCTTTCTTTTTCCTTTCCTTCCCTTCATTAAACCAAACGCAGCCTAAGGAATTCTCTGATGAGGAGGGAGGGAACGGAAATTTGACCTTGGAAATTTCACAACGGTTTATCACTCCCTGTCAGGTCAATTTCCTAACCAACGAAAATCAGACTCGCTGCTGCACAAGATTCAATGAATTTATCAATTACACTTGACCAAGTCCAAAAATCTTAGGCCATTTATTAATTTATCCACTTTATCTATCCAGGTTCTGTTGAGATTTTTCTCGGGTAATTAATCTGTAATTCTTTTTCAGAAGCAATGGACTAGGTTTTGATCAAGACAATTTATGTCACACTATTTTTTATTAAATTTTATTATTTTTTTAAAGAAACACGAAGGCAATGGACTCGGTAGTTATCATTACTATATACTATGTGTGTAGGCATTACCTGTATGAAATCCCAATCCATTGTAGAGTGGAGTCGTATGGACTCCAATGTTAAACTACTCTTTTTTCTTGAATTTTGAGTAGTTAAAAAGGGGGAAAATCTCGCAAAGTCTTCAAAACTTAATATTATCTTTGGTTTTAAATATAAGATCTAACTTGTATTGTAAATCTTATATTTATGACCAAAGGTAATATAAACTTAGGCAAATAATCCACTCGAGAACTTTCATTTCTATGCAAAAGAACCTCCCTTATTTATCAATTCTGTTACACACACCCATATTGTCTCCTTACTTGGCCAGTTGCTGCACAGTTTGCTAAAGGGAGGAGGTCAAGGCCATCTCTACTGCTCTATTTGAAGGAGCCTCAGTTTGTTTCAGTAAGGAGGCCAATTGGCTTTGAATATTTTAGCCAATTCTCGTTGACCTCAAATGAAGGTCCAATTGTAATTTTAATACTTGATGCCAGAAAAACCTTGAGAGTAGCTTATGGGATTTAAGTGTTAAGACTCTCCCTAGGTGGCCGCGTGCTGCTATAATATATATAAACAAACTCTTCTTTTCAGCCATACAATATGATAATAAAATAACCAGCTATTCATGTGGTAAAAAAGTATAGTAGTTATGATGGTCCTATCTTCTCCGGATGCATACAAACTAAGCCTATCTTGTGTGCATAGAGGACAAAACAAAAATTTGGAGAGTATTGATCATTCAAAACCACACGATGTGGTGATGAGGTGGACGTTACATTTCAGATATATGTAAGTGAAGTAGAGATTAAACAAATGGTATTTTTCCACTGAAAGACTAGGGAAATTTAATTTTAGGAACATAAAATCAACCACACGCCTAAACTTTGTGGCAAGACTAAGAGCAGTTAATCCTCAAAATTCTTCCAGCAGTGCTGTTCTGTTCAATCTTTTTTGTTTCCCTTGCGTCTTCGATCATCAATAGCCTTGTTTGATTGTGTTTTCTAATAAAATATGCACAAGTATATCTTGCTCCAACTACAAGGGGCCACAAAAGCCATCATGAATGTGAACATTTTTTAACTATATTTTGAATTAGTCATATTAGACGATAAGAAACTACGGACGGAATAGTCAACACTGCAAACCAGTCTTCAGTCCACAACAAAGAAATCAAATTGCTTTTGATGTTTAACCAATGAGCTTACGTAGCTCAAATACCTTAACTTCCAAGTTGAGGTGATGCAATGGATAGGAAACTCAGACTCTGTTCCCCACCCCCCCCCCCCGGGGGGGAGTTAGAACCTTATGACCAGAACAAAATCACTGAAAAAGAAACCTCATCTTATACACTGAGGGCTACATGGACGCCAATTATTCAAGCCTCGTTTGCCAAGTTCTACATGACATTTCATCTCACAGCGTCCAAAAAGTGGAACTTAATATAAATTTATCATTAGATCTAGCTGTGCTACAAATAAAATCTCTATCCTTGTAAACTTTTCTTACTTCCTACTCCGATGTCATGAATTGTCTTAAGTTAAAACAAATAAATAAATGAATTAGCTGTTGATGCATCATCGTACAGACGTACCTGAAGGCCGATAAGGTGCTACGTGATATCCTGTTACCGGAGAGGAGGCTGAAGATTCATCTTTGTAGAAGCAGGAATTGCTTCTTGCAACCCAATCATAGCCACATACTCCTCCTGATTTCTGACACTTGTCACATTCATCAGTACCAGCTATCCATTTCACTTCAAATCCATTTCTGATTGCTCCTTGGATTTTGCTCAAATCCACAATATCAACCAGTGACAGAGAAACTTCAATAGGAACAACGATGCTTGCATTACAAAACTCAGAAAGGCCTGTATCCTTACCCAACAGAGCAAAGCCATTTTCATCATGAAGACCATTTTTGGAGCAAAAAAATTGTCCAAGCTTCACATAAGGAATTGCTGGCAGACAACCATATTGAAGCGTAAGATATTTTAGTTCAGGCACATATTCAAACACATTAGGATCAAGGATCGGGTTGATAAACTGATCAGGGCAAAGATCGTCCATGTAGTCAAACCTAACAATTCTCATAACTTGCTTGTCCGGTTTGGCATCCAAAACCAAGTATCTAACGCTTTGTATCATTAAGAAGGTCGAATTTCCAGAACAATTGAGAAACAACTCAGGATAGCCACAACCTTGTGGACGACCTTGTCCCCAGAACGGAAACCCAACGTTCCTTATATTTCCACAATCATACAGATTACTGCAAGCTGTATGGTAATCATAGGCTCTTGAGTGCAAAGGAGTCAGAAGCAGTACCCATAGTGTTATGCTCGAAAGAAGAAAGGCAAAGGTGAAGAGAGAAGCCATAGTGACATTGGCGAAGAACTGAATTGCAGTGAGAGAAAGAGTTTCCGTTCGTGTGGAAAATATATGACAAATTATACAGTAGTCAATGTCCACTCAGAAAATTATCAAGACGATGACAATAAATACAACCACCAAGTGGTCATCATACGACAGAAACGGGAAACGGGAAAACGAAAAAGACAAGTAGTAGATGTCGATTCCCTACAGCTTTAATGAGATTCCTAGCATGAGAGGTGTGATTGAAAATAGCTTGCACAGTGCTTACTATTCTACTAGCCGAGAAGGATTCTTCAGTTAACAAACCTCCCAGAGCTTCCAGCAGAGACTTCCAAAGGATTGGATCCAATTTTGCTTAGAACAACGATGATCAAGATTTCGAATAAGCCAATTTTTAGGCTAGCAGGAATCTCCTCAAGACGTGATCAATATTTTCAATCTCTGTATTGCAAAGTTCACAGGTAGCATCTGAAGTCACCTGCGGTCGCATTCTTTGAGAGTTAGTTAAAAGAGTGTTTGCTGCAGACCCATGCTTGCTTTGTAGAAAAATTATAAGAAATACCTTTAAATTTTTTAAATTCTAAATTAGCCTTGTTCACTAAAATTTAATAATAATTGATAATATTTAAAAAGCAAATAATAACATATTTTTGAAGTCATTCCCGGTTTGGAATTTTAAAATGTTAGAGGTATTTTTTTTATAGGATTTTTCCTACTTAGTAGTCCCCAACGTAATGCATTTAGTTTTAAGTATAAAATTTTAATTCATTTTATCTTCTACATGTATCATTTTTATCAAATTTATTTACCAAACTTCTAAATTAATACCACTCAATTCCTATTTTATAAGTTACTTGTGAGAAAAAAGTCTGTTCCTAAATATAAGTCACTTATAAGATAATTAATAAGTTTTTTTTTTAATTTTACTCATGTTGTCTTAAGTAAAAGAGAGAAAATGTAAAACATATCTTTTTAATATCCTTCCTTTAATAGGGGCAAATGTGAAAAAAAATTATCAATTCAATACATTTCTTGGTTTATATGTTTACAAGTGACTTATAAATAGGAACATAGTGGTAATATAAGACTATTTTTAAAAAGATGAGGTGATATTTGTTATATGAATAACTAATTTATATGACTTTTTTTAATTTATCTAAATTAGCTAAATAGCTCTAATATTAAAGATTGGTGATAGTATAAAATTGTGATTATATATGCAATACACATTTTTTTTATTTTTTAGAATTTAAAAAACAAATTACACCACAAATCATAAGTAGATTAAGAAAACTAGTTAAATTAATTATTTGTCAAAAAAATATGTTAGTTTTTCTAAAATACCCTCTTAAATTTATAAACTATATTATACATATATATTGGCAAAAAAAAAATACATATATACATTACATTGTATATTGAACAAAAATTAAATAATAAGTTAAATTATTTTTAATTTATGAATAATATGAATTATTACATATTTGTTATGGCAAAAATTTATCTTTTTTAATTTCTTATTTTTTAATATATCTTTTTTTGCCACCTTATTTTTTAATATATAATCTTTTGATTCTATTTATAAGACAGAGAGAAAAAACATTTTTTTGCCTTATTTATAAGGCATTGAGAAAATTTTTTTTATAGATATACAATTTTATTCTTCATTTATTATTGTGTTGACTTTGTTTATATAAGGTATAGTATATATTAAATAGAGATAAAATTAAAAATTTATTAAATTTTAAATAAGAGTTAATAAAGTTTAAGGTTTCTTTTTATTAGTATGAAATATGTTAAAAGTGATTTATAAATAGGATCAGAAAAATATATGTATAATGTTGTTACGGTAAATTACAGTAATTATTTAATGAAATTAGTTGAAACCAAATATATTAGTTGGTAAGGCGGCTTAAATATGTAGTTTGACTTTGGCGCCCTTGAAAAAAGTCTGTTAAATGTCAGATCGGGATTAGAATCAAGTCTATTTCCATTAACAGTAGGAAAATTATTACACCTACCCCTAAAAAACTTTCAATGATAAAAATAATATAACTCAAATTAAGTATATATGGGTTCTAAGTTTACAAGTTGTCGGCGGCCTAAAGAAAAAAGTGGTCCCTAGGGTAGCCGTTTTAAAACTTAGAAATTTAGAGGTTGTTTAGATGGAACCAAACAATAGTTTGAAAAATAACTTTTGAAGAATAGATTTTGTGAAAAATAAATTTTGTGAAAAAGTGATTTTGAAAAGTAAGAGTGTTTGGATAGTTGTTATCAGAAGCACTTTTTACATGTGTAAATTACTAAAAAAAGCATAAGTTAATATGATAATTATATTAAGGGATAAATTTTATAATATATTTTAATTTAAAGGAATAAAATTGTTAATAAAATAATTTTTACTAACATAATTAATAATATATAAGATAATATAATTAATAAATAATTAATATGTGTATATATATTTATAAATTATAAGATTAAATATGTTTATAAAAAAATGATTATTTTTTCTAACAAAAAAAATATTAATTTGCTTTAAAGATTTTAAACATAAAATTCTATAACATTTTTTCATAACTGGTTTTTATAACACACTACCTCTCATCTCATCTTTAATATAAAATATAAGATTAAAATATTTTTGAAAAAAATGAATAATTTTTTGTAAACAGAAAAGAAATAAATAAAAAATGGAAAAAACAATAAATAACAACGTAGTAAAAAAAAAAACAATATACTATCTCTGAATAGTGAATGACCAAAGACAATATACTACCTCTGAACAGTGAAGGACCGAAGGGGTATATGTGTCTGGTCAAAATACTTCTCCCTAAAACCAGCTGACACTCTCTCATTTTTTTTCCAGAAGCAGATGCAAAATGCTTCTCACAAAACCATGATTTTTAGGTCAAAACCATGGTTATTGATTTTTGATGGGTGTTTGGACAATTTTTTTCCAAACCATGATTTGGAACGATACCCAAACACCCCCTTAAGATAGCACTTACTCCTCTTTTTTTTTTAAAAAAAAGAAAGAGCTACTAAAATCTAAAATCATGCGGCTTAAAATATTAATCATAGTTAGTTAAGACTAATAAATTTGTTTGATATATATTTTTAATTATATCATTGTTTATAAAATCGTGCGGCTGAAAATTTATTATAAAGAGATAAAAAGATCAGTTTAAAATTTCAGATAAAAAGAATTCACTTCTTATATTTAGAAACACTTCTATAAAAGAAATTATTTCTCATAAAAAAATGACGGGAGTATAAAACATGAGTAGTTATTTATATACTAACATTTAAAAGTTTAGAAACTGAATTTCAAAAGAGTAGTTATTTATAAATTTGTTATTTCATACTACCTTTGGTCTAAATAAAAGAGATAATTTGAGATTTAATTTGGCTTTAAATATAAAATTCCAATCTATTTTATCTTTTATATTTATTTATTTTTCTAAATAGTTTTCATGGAAATTGTACATGTTAAAAGATTTCTATTCTAATACACATGATTAACAATGGTATTTTAGGAAAGACGGTACTCATTTGTTACAAATAATTAATATTTTTTTTCAAAAGAGATTCATACTGTTGATTAAACCAAAACAAGTAAGAACTTTTTTTTTTGGTTGCCTAGAGTATCCTCCCACCCGAATGGTAAGAAATTAATCTCTCGGGGTACTGTCAGGCGCTGTAGTGGGGATCCCTCCCAACAGTATTTTTTTATACATACCGCCCCGAAGATCGAATCCAAAACATGATATTTAAAGTGCCAAAATCCTTTCTACTTGGACCAACACTTGTTGGTAAACAAGTAAGAACTTGTCCACAACAAAATCATCTAAACATCACAGTCCATCAACCCAAACAAAACCTAAAAAAATAAAAACAACAAAACAATTAGATGAAAGAAAACTCCGCTCCATGCTTTGCACTTCCACTCTACTTTGCCCCAATTGTTATGAGAAACTAATCATGAAAGTGGCTGGACGGGATGGTTGTTTTGCTTCATGGAGCCAAGTCCTTATATGCCAAAGTTGCCTTCCTAATTGCAACATTAAAACTCTCTTTCAACGAGAGAAGATGAAACAATCTGATAACCCATGCAGCGTCTTGAACATGGAACAACACAACAGAATAGAGCCATTTGCACTCATTTATCATGTCTATGCAGAGAGTGAAAATTCTCCCATCCCCATGTCTTCTCAAAGTACAGAACATGCAAAAGGTAAATAGGCAAAAGAAATTTCAACTCCATGCTTTGCAACTTTGCATTGCAATGACTAATTTCCTATGAGAAACACACCATGTCAATGGTTGGAAGGGGTGATTATCTTACAACTTGCTCTATCCAGCCCACACCCTTATACATCAAAGCTACTTTTCTAATTGCAGCCTTAAAACTCTCCCTTTCATCAAGAGACGTAGAAACATTCTGAAGACCTTTGTAAACCATAGAACATAGAGAAAAATAGCCAATTGTAGCCATCCATAATAAACATACACAGAGCAAAAAATCTCCTACTCTCCTGTTTTCTTAAAACACCCAAGTTGCCCATAACTTGATACAAAGCATCATAGGCACAAAAAAGTTACAGATCTCTAGTGACCAAACCATAGATTTAAGTTTTAACAACTCCTACTTTAAAAGCACTAATCCTAGGATCAATAGACTTTGATAGCAAGCCAAGTATTTTTAGTAGAATCATTCCTTGGCTGAAAACCAACATTACCACCAAATTCATGACATAAATCATTAATATTGCAAACGATAGTAGAACTAGATGCTGGGAGTGTTCATGAGACGGGACCTATATCCTATCCTGAAAATTGAGAGAGATAGCCTTCCATCTCATGTTCCCTCTCATTCGAGACGGGACACGTAATTAGGACAAGCCAGTGAAATTCCACATATATATATATATATATATATATTATTTTAGGACTTTTTTAGAATTTCAAAATCAAATGTGTTTAGAGTGTAAAAATTCATA